TATAGGACTAACCCTCAAGAAACCAAAGAGATAGAAGCTCAAGTTGATGACTTGTTGAAGAAGGGTTGGGTTCAAAAGAGCCTTAGCCCTTGTGCCGTCCCCGTTCTCTTGGTGCCTAAGAAAGATGGCAAATGGAGGATGTGCACTGATTGTAGAGCCATCAATAACATAACAATAAAATATAGGCACCCAATCCCTAGGCTAGATGATATGTTAGATGAATTGCATGGGGCCATCATATTTTCCAAGATTGACCTTAAAAGTGGTTATCACCAAATTCGAATCAAAGAAGGTGATGAGTGGAAAACCGCTTTTAAGACCAAATTTGGTTTATATGAGTGGTTAGTGATGCCTTTTGGCCTCACTAATGCCCCTAGTACTTTCATGCGCCTAATGAATCATATTCTTAGGGATTGCATAGGAAAATTTGTGGTTGTCTACTTTGATGACATCCTTGTATATAGTAAGACCTTAGATGAACATCTTGGACATCTAAGGCAAGTCCTAATAATTATTAGAGTCAACCATCTCTATGCCAACCTTGAAAAATGTACTTTTTGTCAAGAACAAGTAAAATTTTTGGGCTTCATAGTTGGCAAAGAGGGAGTACAAGTTGACTCCGAGAAAATGAAGGCTATCCAAGAATGGCCCCCTAACCCGGAACGACCCGTTCCAAAAGTGGAACGCCCGTTCTGGGCCCGAAAAATCTACGTAAGTTTTAGAACTGGAATGGCCCGTTCCAGAACCAGAACGACCCGTTCTCTTTTTGGAATGGCCCATTCTCGGCCCGTTCTCAAATTTAAACCTAGTTCATTTTTGATGCTTGGAACAACCCGTTCCGCTTTTGGAACAGCCCGTTCCAAGTTACCAAAATACCCTATACCTTTAAAAATTTTTACGAAAATGCCATTAATAAATAATAAAAAAAATAGGTATTACAACAATCATGACAGGTCGTTACAATATATGTATAAAAATAAAATTATCCTCTACTTTGTTAATAGTATTATTTATTCATACGAGAGATTGCAAAGATTTGACGGGAATCAAACTTAAGTCATCTCACTTCTACTCTTACTTCATCCCCTAATCACTAGGTTAATCCTAGTGGTCTCATTTTTATTAATAATATAGATTATAGAATTATAGATAAATTTATAATAAAAAAATATTATATATATTATAATTAAAATTTGTAATGAATAAATAGTTTTGAATAATCATATTTTAGATTTATCATAAACTAGTAGTGAAAAAGGCATTACCTCCATTTTAAAATAAAATTGATATGTAAAAACAAGTTATTAGTGAGAAATTAGTTATATAATAAACCACTTCAGATGTTAGGTGGATTTTGAAGTCCTCCTCTAAGTATTCTATTTGCTACTGGTATGGGGGCAAGGCCGAGTCATACCGATGGATGAAGTGGCCACGATCACCAGGGTTACGTGACGACGTAATCCAACTATATATGTTCCATGAGAGGTTGGGTGTGAGACATGGGTTGATGACATGTTTAACTGAATCAACACTTGGTTTGGATGTGTTGAGGCCAACATTTGGTTTGGATGTGTTGGTTACATCATGGGATTATACACTGGTGTGACTTTGTTTTGGATGTGGAATATGTATACATATGGTATGGATTCTATACATTGGATTATGGATTCTTTATTATCATAAAATATGTATGCATTGGCATGGATGTGTATACATTAGATTTTGGATTGTTTTATATTTGGCATGGAAATGACTTGTTATAATGTTGTCATTCCCTTGGTATGGATACATATTGATGAATATCTAGTTTAATGATATTCTATTTTATTGTACTATGGTTGGTTTTATATGTGCTAACCCTTATATTTTCATGATGTGGACTGTGATGATCTCACTATGTGGGGGAGCAGATCAGGTGTGAGGCTTTGCGATAGCAAGGAGTCTTTTTGGGTAACTGCTTTAAGAGGTGACTAGACTTAGAGCTTGACCAGCACCTAGGGTGTCTCATTTTGATACTTTCATAATATTGTAATTATATTATCTTTTTGGATTACTGTATAATCTTTACTGAGGATGATGACTCTGCTATAAAAATATGTTATATATTTTGGAAACAATTTATATGTTATTGTATATTTACACTCTAGCGTAGCTGGCCCTTGCTCTATTTTCTTTATTATATATTATTTTATTTTTATTAGTTATGGATGTGACGGCCTAGGGTGGGTCGTTACAAGAAGATGTAGACTTTGCCTTATGTTGAAAGGATGACGAGAATCCAAAGTCTAGTAGGCCTCCTTAGTATAAGGGCAGTAGCAAATAGAATACTTAGAGGAGTACTTCAGAATCCACCTAACATCTGAAGTGGTTTATTATATAACCTTTGGAAAAGTTCCATATTGGAATCCTCACCATGGGATTCCCAAATTCCATATTTTTCCAAAGATTATATCCTGATCTCACCAAGAGATCTAATCCATACCATAACCTTACTCCTCTAAGTTCTATTAGCTTTCCAAACCACACACATATAACATATTCCATAATTAAATACAAACTTTTCCATAACCATACCAAATCATTCAATATAATAACATAAATAATTAAATCCTAAAACAACCATCAACTTAAACACATGACAATCTTCATATAAACAAAATAGCATATTAAAAATTATACTACCCCTATTATGCTCATACATACCAGATTAAGTCTTATAAGTACTACCCTTACTTGGATAAACAAGAATCGAAACTAGGGAAGAACCTCCTCCTCTCCCTCCTCTTTTCTTTCCCCTAGCATAACCTCCTTCTCTGGATTTCTCTTCCTCTCTCTCCTCTTTTCTTTCCCCTCCTCTCTCTTTCTTTCTCTCTCTCTCCTCTTTCTCTCTCTAGGATCTCCTCCTCTCAAATTCTCAATTTCCCAACACCCCAGCCCCTATTTATAGAATTCTACCTTACCTAACCCGGAACGACCCGTTCCAAAAGTGGAACGCCCGTTCTGGGCCCGAAAAATCTACGTAAGTTTTAGAACTGGAATGGCCCGTTCCAGAACCAGAACGACCCGTTCTCTTTTTGGAATGGTCCATTCTCTTATCATCCTTTGGTGAGCCTAGATCTTTGGGCAAGAAGTCCCTCTTCAAGGAGCCGAAATCATCCATGGAAATCATCCATAGAAGGGAGGATCCCATCAAAAACCTTCCCTCATATATATAATAAAAATAATTAACTTGTATAATCCATAAAACATAACACTTTTGTATTCCCGTAGAAATTATTTAAATTAAAACAAAAGAAAAAAATCTCATTAACTAATTAATTTTTCTTTTTTATCAAATATAGAAAACACAGGGTGTTAGATAAGTTATGTGCACTAATTTGCAATGCTTAATATGTTAACAATATTTTTCTATGTTAATATCTAGCATTAAAGTTATATGTTGCTTAAGATTTTTCATGTTAGATAAATTCCTTAAATTATGATTAATATACTTATTATGAGTTTTCTTTCTTATCTTTTATTGAGGAATTTTTATCCTGTTTTAAACCATAAATTTTGTTTTGTCTGAGAACGTTCGTGTTTCAGGAATGATTATATACAAAGAATTTTACCACCATTGAAATTACAACAATTGAGTAGCGGATCGGGATGAATAGATGAGACATGCGAATGAAAAACCATTGTTGGGAGAATATTATCATGTTTTAAAATACCAATTCAAATAATTTTTTAATTACAAATTAATGGTTAATATCTAATTGTTAATTAAATGTAATTTATAATCATTTTTTCATGATTATCACTTATAACAATTAAATATATTTTATAATTATCATGACTACTTATCTCTCTTAAGTTTGCACTAGTGTGTTAAGGTTTCACCTTATACTAATGTGGTTTGACCAAGAAGTAAGTAAAGTTTACAAATGATTGTTTCCATCAAGGATTGAATTGCACTACTCGAATGATTAACTGGACATTGAATTCAGTACATTAATTACTTGTACTCAACTCCTTGATTATCTCTTAAAATTTTATTATGGTAATTTTTTGAGAAAATAATATTTAGTAAATATTTTATTGATTAAATACAAATAGTGTGTTTTGATAATAAAAAAAATATTTATATTTGAAATAGGATACATTGAAAAATGAGAACATGTAATTTGAAATAAGATAAGATTAATATTTTAAAATTTTAATTTTATAGTATACCTAAACTTAAAAGACTGATATATAATCTATATTTACTATAAAAAAATACATAATCTATCAATAAACTTTATTTAAATTAATTCTTTAAATCATATAATTTAATATTTTAAAAATTTTATTATCATTTGAAACATAAGAAATATTTGATTTTAATCGTACATTAATACTTAATATTTAATGGAGACTAAACTTATAAAAAATATTGTATGATAATTATTCATGTTTATATATGTTTTGTTAATTTTAATTTTATTTTATTTTTTTACTAACATAATGTGAACTGTGCTTAAATAAGTATACATTTTTATTAATATCATTTAAAAAAATAATTTGTATAATTGTTATTAAATTAAAATTTAATGTTTATGTAAAAATTTGCAATGACATAATTTAAGAAATGACAATTTGGTTTTGAGATTTGATATAAGGAAAAATATAAGATATTACAACGATTTATTAGAGAAGAGTATTTTATTATAAGGATTTTTAATTGTTTAGAAAATATATTTTGTTGCCACAATATTAATTGTTAAGAAAAATCATCTTTTACCAACAACTTTAGCTAGTAAGAAAGATTGTATTTTACAATGATATATAGTTGTCAAGATACATGAAATATGACAACAACTTTGATGGTATCACAAAGCACAAAGAACAGCAACAAGTATATATCAAAATGAAAGTGACAAGTTGCTAAAGTATAAGTAATGGTAGTGATATCAAATATCATTGCAAAATTTTTCACAACAACACTTCTTACAACTAAAGTTGTCAAACTCGAGAGTCTACACAAACTCGTAGAGCTCTTGTAATCTCGACTCATAGACTCGACTCGTAGGCTCGTAAGAGTCTACCTAATATTAAAAGATATTAAAAAACATGAACACGTACAATATGATATCACTAATTCAACATTCTAAGTCTGAAATAAGTCAAATAACAATAATAAAATGTCATAATACAAATCTTAACCATACATGAACAAAGAGGAGGCAAAGTGTTTTTTTCGTATGCGGCGGAGAGAGAGAGATCGAAGAACAAATAGGAGGCAAACTGTTCTTTTACGCGCGGAAGGAGAGAGATCGAAGAAAATAGAGGTGCTTAGGAACCCTAGCTGAAACGACATCGTTTTGGGGGCAAAAACTTAACCTAACCTTGACTCGCAGACTCGCCCTCAGACTCACGATTCTGAGCGAGTCGACCCAAGTCTACCCGAGTCCACCTAAGTCTATCAAAAACCGATTTTGTTCGTGAGTTAACTGTAACGACCCGGCTGGTCACTACACACGACCTAGACTTGTGGACTTGGACCAATACCTATGCTTTTTGGAGTTGGACTTAAGACCATTATTGAACCTATTTTGAGACTTTAAATGTGGCTGGACCGAATCTCATAAAAGACTTAATCAAGTGGACTAAACACTAATCCATTCTAGTGCCATTTTAAGACTACTCTTTTGTGTGCTTCCTTTTTAATTGTGTCTTAATTTTTTTTTTGTCATTTCTTTGGCCTCTTTTGTTTTGTCTCAATCAATTCTCTCTGAGTTTAGCCTTTCCTAATTGTGCATTTTCAGTTTTTATTTCTTGGACTCTTGCTCTTGGGTTGGTTTCATTTTGAATGTAGGTGAAGAACCTATCTAACAGACTAGCAAACCTTTGGTGGATTTGAGTGGAGGTGTGAACCGAATCCAAACCTAGTCCTTTGGAGGGATTTCCACTACACAAAAGGAGTGCTTAAAAACTTGGAGAGGACTAACCAAAGTTTGTTCATTGTGAAGGAACCCAATTGCAGGAGTTGAAGACCTAAATTCTTTTCCTCCTAATTCTTGCTTGATTTCTTTTGGGCCAATTGTATTTGGGCCTTGTTTCTTTAATTTGGTTTGTAATTGGTCATTTCTAAACCTCTACATCTTATGGTAACTCAAAGTAGTGCTTGTGGGAGTGGCTTGAATACCACCAAGGTTACTTCAAGCTCCCACCCTAGGGAATCCGACTAGCATATGCTTTAAGTTGCTTTCCTTTGCATGTTTTATAGCTTTAGTAGTATAATTTCTTAGGACTTTATTTTACCAATTTGTTGCGTTAGAAGGCTACATTGCCTACTAAGGGTCCATGCACACACACATCTTAGTCTTGTGAAAATTGTTTTGTGAGAAAAGTTGAAAAGGCTTAGTGATTTCTACTTGAAAAGGCTTGGTTATTAAGTGATTCTTAGTAGTCCACCTCCCTTGATAGTTCACTTTGTGCACTTAGGCCTTTTCATACCAATCTTGTACCTTGAAAACCTTTTTTTGAAAACCTTTTATCACTCACTCTTTGTGAAAACCTTTCTTTTAACCTTTTTGAAAGAAAATTTGTGAAAACCTTTTTGATCAAAGATGAGTGATCATTCTAGTGTATATGGTCATAACTCTTGTAGTACTAGGTCTAGTGTTAGGGATGAACTTAGGCAACTAAAAGAGTACCTGAGAAAAATAGAAGAGGAAAATATAAAGAGAGCGGAAGAGTTAAGAAAAAAGGAAAAAGAAAATGAAAAAAATAATGAAGAAATAAAAAGATTGCTTGCTAGGTTAGTTGTGGGAGGAGAGGCTAGTGGTTCAAGACCAAGAGTCTCTTCCCCTAAATCCTCAAAGGGTAAAGGGGTTAGAATACCCTCAAGTGTTCATGAGGAGGAAGGAATCTGAGAGAAGGACATCCTAGAGAGAGAAAGAGGAGAGAGAGAGAAAGAAAGAGAGAGGAGGGGAAAGAAAAGAGGAGAGAGAGGAAGAGAAAATAATGAGGTGGGAAGGTGGAAGGTGTTTTTGGTGCTCTTGGCTAGCTCTCTCCACCAAGGGTTGGTGGAGGCCACTCAAGGGAAACTCAAACTCTCTTTAGGGTAGAGAGGAGAGGAGGTTGGGCATGAGGACCCTAGGAGACTAAGGAAGGATTTTGAGGCACAAAGGCTCACTCAAAATGCATATATTCCAAAGTGGGTACAAGGTGGAGGGACTAGAGTACTTATAGAGAGAGGAGAGCATCCTAGGGTTTCTTGGGAGCATTTGGCCGAAAATTTCAAGCCCAAATGCACCCAGCCCAAATGAAATGCCTCTCATCTCTCCAAAAAGACTAAAGTACCCTTAGTCCTAGAGTCATGAATGTACTTCCTCAGCTGGGACACATGAAATACATGGTGTAGGTTTGAAAAAGACAGTGGCAAAGCCAACCGATAAGCAACCGGACCTACACGCTGTATGATCTGGTAAGGACCCACGAACCTCGGTGTCAACTTCTAAGTCTTTAGTGCTCTCCCCACACCAGAAGTTGGGGTCACTTTCAGAAACACATGTTCTCCTTCAGCAAACTCCAAAGGCTTTCGCCTCTTATCAAGAGCATTTGGCCGAAAATTTCAAGCCCAAATGCACCCAGCCCAAATGAAATGCCTCTCATCTCTCCAAAAAGACTAAAGTACCCTTAGTCCTAGAAAATGAAAGAAATGGACTTTTGACCTTACTAGTCAAGGTTAAGTCCCTAAATAAATCCTAAGCCTATTTTTGCCCCATAATACAAAGGCTAAATAAAAATACACAATAAAATCCTAATAGCTAATGTACC